AGGCGCAGGACTTCCTGACTTACGTTGTGCAAAGCAGCAACCTGGCCTGCTGGAGTGGGGCTTAGAGGCTCGTCATCTCTTATGCAATGCAAAATTTCAAACCACGCTGAAGCATGAGCCCTTTAAGAAGCTTTTGGATAGTTTCTTGCCTCTATTATAGATTCTCAGATCCTCTCAGACTAGGGTTTTGTCATCTTATGAAGACGGCTGTCTGGATCCTGCAGTGGGAGGTGAAGTACTTGGGAGAGTACTACGTAGCTTGTAGAGCCACGTGCTTGTGGCCTGTACTTTGTACTTCCAGGACCTTAATTCGAAGAGGTAGAGCCTGGGAGGGAGAAAGCTGGGGTAATTTCACAGATCCCTTCTGGGTTTGCAAGCAGAAAATAACAATACTTTGTAGTAGCTGTGCCCATTACCCAGATAGGCTCACATCTGTTTTGTGTTTTGTTCCCCCCCTTCAGTTAAAGACTACTTGCCGTCTCCAAAATTGACCCACAAGAGAGCGTTCAGTGACGATGTCTCCCAGGTCAGCGCGGCACCAGAGCCGAAAGCAATCCAAAGCCTGAAGCCAAAGAGCGATCCCGTGTCCCGGTCCTCTCTCTGCATCAACGGGAGCCACGTTTACAGCGACGAGCCTGCACCAAAGAGCCCCGTGTCTGCCCCGCAGAGCTCCGCGCCGCTGACCGTGCCCAGCGTCCCCAAAAGGCCGGAGGAGAGCTTTGGCTTCACCCCCCTCCATCCCGACTCCCACGAGGTGCCTTGGGGGGTCAGCAACTTTGAGAGGATGCAGCAGAGGGATGAGCCCAGGTTCATCCCGTCTCCTCCCAGCTTAGCCTTGCAAGAGGAGCTCAGGGTCTCCACTAAAGCCGTAACCCTCAGTAACCATCTGGGCAGAGCCAGGATGGAAGAAAACAGTCGCTTAGAGACCAAACCTACCCAAGTTGCAACACCCATGGTCTTCTCCACAGAGATGACAAAAGAAAAACATCCTGAGGAAATGAGGAAGGAAGACAAGAAAGCTAAGGGCAGTCTCTTCCTCCACGGAGGCAACAAGAGCGATGCAGGGAGCAAAGGCCAGGGAGAGAAAGTGGCACCTTCCCATGGTTCATCCGTCCAAGCGATGGCAGGTGGAGATGAAAGAAATAAGACCAGCGGCTGGTTTGGTTCAAAGGAGCCCAAAGAGTCCCCTCAGAAACCCAGGTCAGTGAAAAGGCTGTAGGGCTGCGTAGGCCATTAACTAGCTGCCCCAGCCTCCGGTCTTACGTGGCGGTGTTGTTAAATGCTCTCCGACATCCGTTGGAGGACCGGTCCCCGCTGCACCTACGTCAGACTGACTTTTTAGGTCTGCCAAGATAATAGTGGGAGGAATACTACTTTGGTGTTAAATGCCTCTCCTCAGAGGGAAGGGAGGGTGGTTTTTTGGGGTGAAGCACAAACCGGGGAGCCAGACAATCTGGATCTTCCTCTTGCCCCTGCCATAAACCAAGTCCATTCGCCGTCCTGGGCTGTGTTTCCCGGTCGGTGGTGAAGGCAAGGATCCCCTTCCCGGGGAGCTAGACGTACTTCTCTGCGGGGGTGAGGTTCAGCATGGTAGTGCCAAGAGTTCCTGTCGCTTAGAAGTGCAGAGGGAATGCAAAGGAACGTTATCCTTTAATTAGCTAAAACGCTTTCCTGGCGTTCAGTGAAGGATGCAGGATGTACTGACATGCAGTTGCACTTTTTATTAACATCCCACACCCTCTGCATCATTGATCTGGCCTGGGGTGTGGTAGTTTGGTAACCTAGATATTGTTAATGTTAATATTTCTGAAGTAACTAATCCCAGCCCTGCTCTTTCCTTTTCCCATCCCGCCCCAGCCTTCCCTTCTCCCCATTACAAATCCCTAATTGTTGTAGCTTAACATGATGATTCATCCCTCTAAATCCTCAGCGCTGGGTTTGTGGCACACAAGCCATGGGGTCTGCGCCGTTTCCGTGCTGCTTTTCTTGCCCAGCGGCAAGTCCGGTGCCCGTCACGAGCCGGGGCTGGCGCGGGGACGAGCGTGCTTGCACTGAGGTCGGGGAGCGCCGGAGTTAGCGGAGCGCGTCGGCTGCTTGTGAGCTTTGCCCCCGACGTGTGCTCCCACGGTGGCCGGCCAAGCACGCGCCTGGGTCCAGAGGTTGACCGAGAGCATGGTACGGTGTCGTCCTGGCTCAGCAGAGGGAGAAAACGGGGTAGAAAAACAGCCGTGGAAAAAACTAGCAGTCTAGAGCTGGTTGAAGTGATCAGGTTGATTTATTATAGGGATTTTCTCATCTGTGCTCACTGCTGATGTGTTAAGCAGAAGGATTTTAATTCACTCTAAGCCTCCGCTAACGAGGAGGGCACTCGGTTTATTTAACCGAACCAGATTCCTGCAAATTTGCTTGCAAAACACTGCTCAGATATACGCGAAGGCATGAGTGCATCAGACAGAGCAGATGCCCTGCAGCAAAGAAATCGTCTTTTCAATTTTTAAGACGATTTCGTAGCCGTAGCGTTCTTTAAGGCCACCAGAAAGTAGGAGCATGCTGCCACCCCTCTTCCGAAGGATGGGAAACTCCCGTGCCAGGTACCTAGACGCATCCCTGTCACTGGGCAAGACGGGACGAGCTCTCCGCGTGCCGCGTGGCCGGCGCGCGTGGCCGCCCGGGAGGCG